TTCAAGCATTGTATGCTATTTAACGCTGGGGTTTTTAAATGCTTTTAAATAAAACACTTAAATAAGTTTTTCTTTAAGCACTCTTCTATCTGTGGATTTACAGAAGCCTTCAGGAAGCCAAAGGTCATTATTCCCATCTTATGAGTGCAAAAAGCACAACAGAAGTGGGGGTAATGATTTGCCCACAGCCATAAGCAGGTTAATGCTGAAGCTAGAAAAAGAAATGTTTTCAGGCCACTGTTTTATCCTCTGGTATCCCGCTGCCTTATACTTACCAAGTACATCTAGTTTATAGTAAAGAAATTAAACTCAAAGAATAAAACAATCAGTATTAAATCATTAACGTCTCTCTTTTTCAATACTATGCCTTGTAGATGAGGACAGGGAGACAGATATGTTTATAATGTTCAGTCTGTTGAACCTGAAAATAAAGTGTAGGTTGCTTAACCTAAATATAGTCATCAACTCATGGAGTTGCCACCCTATTCAGAGTATCTGCCATGCAGCACTAGAAAAGAATTTGTAAAGCAAAATTCTGCTGAATGTGCTCATAAATATTAGAATATTCTTGATATGCTATGCTGAAAACATTCAATCTGAGCTGCGAGCAACTAGCGTTGCATATCAATTTTTGGAAAATGCTAGTATTTGTATCCAGAGATACCACCAGCAATACAAAGTGGCAAGATACTGAAACTGGCAATACAATGCCTTACACAATTATTTTGGGTCAAAGTATCCCATTGTACATAAATTCACATAATGAAGTTCAGTACAAAGCAAACTAACAATAAACTTGGCACAGAGAAACAGATCAGCAGCTGCATTGGGAATTCAATGGAGAAAACTATTTTAATGCTCAATGTGTACATAAAATTGTCTTTGAAACTTGCCGAAAAATGCAAATAATATACATTAAAATTAAAATTTCTTAAAAGAAAATTCAAGCTTGCTTAAAATATAAACCGATTCCAGAATCAAGGGTTTTTAAGAGCTGTGATTAGCTGATGAGAGGTGTTTTAGACAGATGATATAGTAGCTATGATGACACTATATCATTACTGCCTTGCTTCCTTTTTTTTCCACACTGGCAGTTATAGTTCATACACATGACTCCGAATACACTTTTTATAAAATCTTTTGGAGATACATTAAGAAGTCAGCAGATGACAGAAAACTTGTCTTGCTCTGTGGCAGGAGAAAAAAACTGAGCATATTATGATAATGCAGAGCAACGCATGCATTACACAATACAAACAATGCTAAACAGCATCATTTAAAGAAAACACAAAGCAGTCATTGATTTTTAATATCTGCATTAAAGGTCCCCATTCTAAGTAATTACATTTTGTAGGAAATATCTTTAGATGATGTCGTGCCTATTTACAAGGAATTAGGAGAATATTACACAAACAAGTACAGGAAAAAACATTTTGCTGTGACCATTTTTTCCAAATACAATTCCTCCCCCAATATTTAAACCAGACATTACTACAACTGCTACAAAGAATACTGATTAGAAGAACGGGGTTGTTTGTTTGTATTTTAACGACAAGCCTTTAGAGATTTTCTTCCCTTTCCTTTAGGGTGAATAATTAGCCAAACTCCCTCATCTTTTTAGCATTTCAAAAGCCTGCTTGTGTGCAAACATTCCCACCTGAGCGCTTACTCTGGAGACCAGGTGAGAGAAGACAGGCAGAGGGTTTTCAGAAGGGGAATGAGCATGTATGTCACGCAATATCCACATGCTAAAGGAAAAGACTACATTTGGACCTGGGAAAACCACTGGCAAGGTCTACCTATGGATGCAAACTTTATTCATAGGTCAAGCAGCTGCCAGGTGAGATGACGCAGATGACGATGTTCTCTAACCAGCCTTCACCTCGAGGGTGAAGCCTGCCTTAACCCCTGGGCCAGCACAAAGACTCCCATGAGGTATCTTGCTTCCTCATCAAAATGATGGTCCTGTCCCATGGAAGAGCTCTCTTTTAACTGTACCAGCAGTCCCTCAGGTCACGTGGATATTTTTAGCAGTTTCCAGGTACTGCTGAAGATGGCAACGCTTGTGGTTTTGTAGGGAAAAGTCTGACTTGCTCAAGAGAACATCGGAGGCAGGGCAAGAGAGGAGAGGGAAGCCTCTCACAAAATGGGAGGTAGATGGTTGGAAGGGAAAACCTCCTTGCAAGATCAAGTGTACCCCCCCCGCAAGTTTCCACAACAGTCAGTTTTGAACCCTGCCCGCTCTGCCTCAGTATTTGAATAAGGCTGAAAGTGTGGACCGAGATCCATCCCTGGCTCTGTAGTCCCACCAAGCCACTTGTGGTCTTTGCCACAGGACAGGAAGAAGTTGAGGAGCCTACTACCTTCTGGCAACACCAAACCCTGTTGCCCTCAGTAACACAACAAACCCTGCTTTGCACCAGGTGTTCAGTGATGCCTGCAAAGTTGCTCTGGGATACAAAGCATTAGATGGACCTCTTCTAAAACAAAAAGGAGAAAGAAAAAAACAAAGGAGGGGAAAAAAGGAGAAAGAAAAGAAAAAGGAGAAGAAAAAGGAGAAGAAAAAGAAAAAAAAGAATAACAAAAAAAATGATGGCTGCTTTTGTTTTGCACATCTTCCAGCTCTACAAAAACACACAGAAGATAACTACCTGGAAGTCCACTGTCAACACTCGTCCATTGAGTATGCAGAGTAACTTCCACCTTAACCAGCTACCTCAAATCACTTCCCAAAGCTGCCAGCCAACAGCCTGCATTTGACCTCCTACATTTATACTCTCATATACTCTACATTGCAAACTTTTAATTAAAAGAAGAAAAAAAAAAAGTTCATCCAAGTCAATTCAAATGTACTGTTTCTCCCAATTACTGTGGAATGCAGAGGTCATCGTCATATTGCATCATTACATTGAGGAATAATCTAGCATGAAGTCCTATAAATTAGCTTAAATAGCTTGTGTGTTTTCATCCATAACAGCATATTTCATAAAGATATACCACTGCTTTTCTGTGTACAAGGATCTAAATTGAACAGGTGCATTACATCTAGTTTATATGAACTTTAATGAGAAAAGGCTGATATGACCCCCCCCAGCCTATCTGTGAACTTTAAACATTATGCCACAGAAGAAAAAAGAGATCTTATTTGGTGGCTGCACATTAGGCCCTGATGCTTTAGACTGCCTTTTTTTGAGGAATGCACCATATTGCTGGCACTTCTATCCAAAACAAGCTTGTGTTTTATAGAAAACGGTTCAACATTTACAGTGACATATATAAGAACAGCACGGACAGAAAACTCTAAAATATAATTTACAACTCAATCTAAGGAATCATCCATTTTAAAAGAAACGATAACTGCATGAAAAGAACAACCCAATCCCTAGATTTTTATCAAGGGATGCTAGCTTAGGATACTAACCCCAAATACCTTACATACTTTTATGTACTGACAGTGGATTACCTGTCCAATAAAAAACCACCCAAGCCCACAACACACCTACATGCTATAAACAAGTAAGAATTCTTCTAGAACCTACGTTGCATGCTGAGTTCGTTACAAAAAATAAAATCAGAGACAGAGCTCCATCGGTTTTGTTTTGGATCATTGCTGAGTACATACGTAATGACTTTCACCTCTTGAAACCTCTCTACTTCATTCATATGCATAGACTTGAAGGAACATTTACGTGTTTGGCTTGTTGCATCAATTCAGAGGATAGAGTTACTGTAAAAATCCACATTACTGCAGGCTTGTAGTGATGAAGCAGACAAGCAGAAGAAACAAGCTTTTATTGCATTTATTTTAGATTTGATGGAAAAGAAAAGTGTGGTCATTTGGTATGACAAAAGCCACCATGAAATTTGATTTGTTTATCGAATAAATTGTTTTATTTAAGCAGAATTTTTTTAAGTTGAAATTTCAAGGTAAGTCACAGATTTGACCTATCCATCCAGATGGTGTTTTTCCTGAATTGATCATGTATTTCAATTTGCTGTACCCACTTTAGCTTATAGTTGTGACATATGCAATGCACCAAGGACACTTACTGAAACTCAAAGTTAATTAAGTTAATTTGAGTAAAACAGTATTTTATATACTACTCTCCACACCAAGCTCTCAATTAAAAATGGGAAAAAACACAATTTTCATTTCTCCTGTAAAGCATAAACTTGCCTATAACAAAGATGGCACTTTATTAAAAATGGATTTACAGAATTCTTGAATAAATATTTTTAAAAATCTCGATGGCTTAGTTTTACTGTAACTCATTACTCTGTTGAAGGTCTTGGAATCACAGGTGGATCAGTCCTTTGGTGCCGACAGTAAGGTGAAGGACAGATTTTTAAGAACTAAGCAGTGCTAATTTTCAACTAAGGGTATAGCTCGCTGGCAGCTTGAGTAGACCTCTGAGCTTTTCCCCCACTCCTGAAAACAGCTTTTTTCCCATCTTTTTGAGGAGCAGGCTGAACTAATTTTGTGCTGGAAGAGTTCCCTGAACCTGCATGCAGGTGCAAAGGAGAGGACAGCACAGTGCAGGGATAGATTTAGATGGCTGAAAATACTATGGGTCACTTTGGTTTGAACTGCACCACGTGTTTCCAATAATTAATATAAGTTTCAAAACCCTAAATTCCCACACGTCATCATTTCTTATATGCAAAGCTACTCCCATTCAACTGATTTTTCTAGGTTTATTTCTCACCTCTGTTATTCCAAAACAAAACAGAAAAACACTCAGTCCCAAAAATCAATTTTAAATTTATATTCTGGGTTCTTATTATTGGTTTTGTTAGTTTTTAATCTTTTTATGAAGTTATTCAAAGCTGTTAAAGATATTTCAGATTCAATAGGTTTTCTAAAGCCTTTTTTTTTGTCTTGGCAAAACTACTGTATTACTAAAGATACCAAACCAGGTTATAATACAGTTATTTAAGACTGCAAATATTTACCTGCAATACCAATTATAAGTAATAGGAATTAAAATCATTGTCGATACCTGTGGTTAAAGGCAGATGAGTGACACTAGTTAGACAGGTGAGAGTGAACCAGGTTGATGCTAACGTTGCTCCAGATAAAAGCAGCAGCAGTATGAACTTCAGCATGCCCCTGATAAAATCTGCAAATCTAAAATAAAAGCACAGATCAGAGCACTACAAATGCTGATTTTCATATTATTTAAATGTGATACTTGACAATTAATTCAGTATATTGGAGGCTATAAAAACAATTCAAAAATCATTTCTCATTTTCAGAAATAGAAAAAAGGCATTTTTATAGAATGGTGATATTTCTAGCTGTCAAGCTGAAGAGCCATGGATTTTTTAGCTGTCACAAAATAACAACCAAACCAGAACAATTCTCAAGGCATCAATTGAAAACACTTGGTATAGAGGAAGGGTGGGTTTTTTTCTTCTGCATTTGTTGGACACAACATCACACCACTACTTATATTGCTGTTTTGTCAGCGTTTGCCAGTCTCCCTTGGCAGACACACCACTCAATTAGCATATGAGGAGGTTGCTGCATTTCATTCAAGACATAGTTAAGTGTCAAGATTCATTCCTGTAGGAAATGACAAAACTCAAAATACCAGAATCCCTAGATCAAAGATGACAAGGAACAGCTTCTGAACCCTTGGATGCATTGGTGATGAAGCTCTTGATGGCTTAGGCAAAGCAGGAACTCTTTACATAGGTAGTCCCCCTGCCAGTGGCTGTTTTGGGTTGAAATGTTCCAGAAACCAAGAGCTTGGTGCCACTCCTCTCCTACACAGACCCCACTGACAGTCTGGGGGAGGACAGCCCCTCAAGTCCTTGGGCAGTCTGGCTGTTACACAGGGGGAAATATGATCTTTATACCACCTGAAGATATAATGGCTTTTTTCATCTTTTTTCCTTTTTCTTTCAAGTAGACAGAATGCATTTGAGCAGCACTCACATGACATAATTATCAGTACAACTGCTCTTTTCAAAAGGGATTTCAACACAGCTACTAAAAAAGATAGCTTAGAAAAGGCAATGTCATTTATCCACTAGTAATTTTCTATAATCTCCTGCTTAGGAGATGTGATTTTGGGCCAGACAGGTTAGGTATGTATGTCTAAAGAGTGTCTTCTGCCCTTATAGCCTCCTACCTTGATTACGCTTAACAGTAGCCCAATCCACCTAGGTTTGTCCCTGATGAAATCTGTCTGTCTGTCAGCTAACTGCCTTCTCAGCCCTGACAAACATCACTTTACATCTTTACAAGCAGATACCTTATAGCTTACTTGATAAAACAGATAATGCTACCAACTTTTTGAGAACTAGGAACCTCAGCTCCACATGTACCATAAGAGATGTATGAGTAATGCAATCAAAAAAACCCCCACACTTTTCTTTTCTTTTCATTCTCCCTATGCTTTAATTCCACATTGAATTTAGCAGCGAGTAATGCAATAAGCAGTAGTGGAAGATCAATGCTGCATATAATCTTAAAAGTTTATGACTGCAGTGTTCAAGTGGCTTACGCATTAATCTCCAATAGTCAGAGGTTAGCTGCTACTGTTGTTTTTTTCTGACAATTCAAATCCAGCAATCAGGATCACCTCTTCTCAGTGGTTTGCCAGTTTCTTTAATTATTCTTGGGGATCACTGGGGTCAAAATCAGCAATTTTAGAAGCTTCTCAGAAGCATCTCAAAGTGCAAACTTTCAGCTCCTTCCACAGAGACTCACTGCTTTGCCTGGCAGCAGACAACGTCACTATTCCGTCTCTGTACAGGCAAGAGCAGTTACGTATATCCTGCCTAATGAAACACAGCGTGAGAAATACCAGCCTTCAGGGAGGGACATTCACACACAACAGGTCTGGAAGGGATCTCTAGGGGATCCTCTATCTCTATCCTACCACCAGGGATATGTGGGGATGGGAGGATGATATGCAGCTAAACCATTCAAGATAGTTAAGTGGAGCAAATATCTACCTTTTCTGAGCAGCTGGAGCTCTTTTTGACACAAAGATCCTGGTTTGGGTATCAATGGTAGCAGTGCACTCCAAGGAACTCTCAGATATCAAAGGACTCCAGAAGGGTCAAAGAGAAACTTAAGGTTTATGCAGCTACTGAATTCAGCCAGTAACAGAAATAATGGGAAAAAATGACATAGCGAACTAGCCTGAACTTGGTAATCGAGGGACTTCTGCTTCTTGCCTGGTTACAGGAGAATAAAGATGACTATAAATCTACTCAAGTCTTCAGAATACTTGTTTCAATCAAAAAATGAGAGAAATTATTTTTATCCTCTGGCCCCAGTATCTGCTTTCAAAACCTTCTGTTCTGTTTAAATCCTTCTTCATCATCTAGCGTGTAAAGGGATGTCTGCAGCTGCTAAAAAAGTAGGCACCCCGGGAGAGAAGGTGTATACTTTCCCAGAAACAGACTTCTGAGCCTACTGCTGGTAAGTCTCCTGCAACCCAGCAAAACCAGCCCTAGGCTGGATCCTACAGTTAATCACAAACCTGCATTGCTGACAATACTGTCTGTTGCTAAGGAAATTATCACCATGTCATAAAGTTTCGGCATTTTGACTACACTGCAGGTTAAAAGGAAGACGAAAAATTGAGCCATGGAGGACAAAACCTCAGAAATATCTATGATCATTAACAAAAAAGATGTGGCCAAAAAAAAAATAAATCTGAGAAAAGGAAATAGATTTATGTTTCCATGCAGTGATATGAATGTCGCTTTTTGATGCTCCTTTTCTTCAAACCAGTATCATTTGAAAGCTGCCAGCAAAGGGTACAGCACCTGCCAGCTGCCTAAGCCCAGGCTTTTCAATTATAAAAATGCACCACACAAATTAGCTAAACATATCTAAGTTCATGGCTATTGGGACAGCACTGGGTGGAGAGCAGAAGGATTTATGTATCGTGCTGAGGAAAACTTGCACCATTTTGAAAATGAGATAGATAAACAAATTTCCAAACTGGGCATTACTTTAAATATAGATGATTTAACACCTACTGTGATGTGCAGGACCAAATGCTCCAGGGCAAGGCTCAGGTTGTTCCAGTTCTAAATGGTAGAATATGCATTGACAAAAATGGAAGGAGTGAATTCCTAAACTGCACCAATTTTGCTTTGATAAATTAGCAGAAGAAAAATATTAGGGAAAAAAAATCCTAAAAACCAACAGCTTCTTGAGACGTGGTTAAGGGAGAGAGCTGCTTGCTTAGCAAATCACAGTTCTGACACTGAAATACATCAACTTGTCAGCCCTGACAAGAATCATTACTTAATTTTCCTAATTACAACTTTCAGCAGATTACAGTCAGACTCGTCATTGATTCAACCCTACACAGATAAATGCTGAATAGGCCTAGGACGGAGAGTCATCCATCAGGAGTGACAAATCACCTCCTCCCTTCCTTTCTGTATGCAAACCCTCCCATTTGAACTGTGTATCGCCAAAGTTAGAAAGACATATTTGGAGACAGACTGTTGGTATTTTTTTAATTTACCCAAAAGCAAAGCTCCGAATGCTACAAAATACTGGTATTCAACAAGGTTTGAAATCAATTTTGAAGCAGTTAAAGAGACTGTCAGCATTTCTTGAAACTTAACCCAGGCAATATATTAAATAAATTAATCTACCATAAAGACTGAGATTTGCGTGTTGGCATTGAGTCAGCAGATTCTCTCCTAACAAAGTTAAGTGAGCTGCTAAGGGTGCCCCTCTACTATTGAAATGTTGCAAATATACCAGAGATTAATTCATGATGGAAAAAATTAAATTGGCATGCTACCTGCTTCAGCATGTAACCTGCTACGGCATCTGTGTCATTTATCGCAGCTGGTTTTAAACATCTACTTCTCTTAGAAAGAAAACCTCATATCTGAGCTTAGCTAATCAAAAGCAACTCTTTTTTAGAGGCAATCAGGGTGTGAACTTTGTTTCAAGTCCTTTGGCCTGCATCTGGAGTGGATGGGTGAGTGGAAAGCGCTTGTTTCTTTTCCCTAGGTCAGGAGTTTTTTCCTCTCCCTCTGTTGCAGTTGCTAGGCAGCCTGCAAAATGTCAGGATGAGAAACCTCACATTTCTTTATGCATTGTGTACTCTGATGATGCACAGCAAGTGAAAAAAAGAGAGCTTCAATTTCTGTCCTAAAAAGATGCCTCTCTGGGTCCACAATCCCACAATGACTGCAACGATGACAGACCCCTGCACTTCTGCTAAATTCATTGCAGAACTGGACTCTAAATTTAGAGTGGACATAGAGAAGCCAGAACAATGTTTAGATATCCAGATGCAAGGTGAACATGTGATTGGTTTTAATCAGTTTTATAAACTCACTGCTCAAGTACCTCCTGAAAGATGTTTTCTCCATTCCCCCCACTCCCTTTTTTAAAGGGGATCTCAATGAAGAAAAAGCAGCAGCCTTTTGGAAGGGCAATCCGTTTCTTGCTTTTCCACTCCCCATGTCATCAGCATTCATGATGGCCAGAGCGCGCTGTGTTTGGATATATAAAAACCATAGCCAAAACAGGCCCAGACTAATTTCTCTGTGGAGGAATGTAATGTTATTGTGGGTAGGCTGCCTGCGCTACGTTCCCAATATCCCTTCGGGAGTCAATATGCCCAAAAGTGTTGATGGAAGGAGACAGACACTAATTTCTTCAATGCTTTCCAAATGTGCTACAACGGGTTCTCCCTCATACCAGGCAGCTGAATTCACAAGAACTGTGTTTAAAAGGAGCACACAGGAAACACTTGTCAGGAGTAACAGTACGACTTGCCAAATTGAGGCATACGCACGTGGAGTTCTCAAGCCCCAGCAAACACTAACATGGAATATACAAATTATTGCTCTACAAGAAACACATTGTAACCCCAGAATGCATTTTCCATTTCAAGTTTCTAGACGATGAGAGAAAACAAGTTAAGTTATTAAGAGGATAAGCTAAATGACAATCACAGTTGAAGAAATGGAGAAGGACATGTAATTATTCCTACCTTGCCATTGCTATGCCAACAACACAACCTCCAACTATAGACCAAAATCCAATCCAGCCTGCATCTACCTGACAGGAAAAAAATCAAAACAAAACACAGAGAAATGTGTTAAAGCTGAGAAAATAAGATGTTAAGATGTTACTTTCAAAACAAATGGTGTGCAGGAGCTGCAAACTGCTAGCAACAGACCTTGACAACAATCTGAAGTGCAAGACTTTTCCTTAGATATTCAGAAGGAAATAAATTCAATAAAAGAAAGTATGGCTAAGTAGCCTATGCCCTAAATGTGACCTCTTTTTATAGAATCTGAGTAATGTCCTCTGGATTTTTATAATACTCTATCAAAAGCTTAGAAATCCTCTTCTCCCCACTTCATCTTTTCCACCTGGTAAACATAATTTTCTTTTACTAAAGGTACAGCAGCCAACAATACTTGCATTTGTTTACCTGCCTCTTCCTTATTGTCAAAAGGTTCATATGGTTCTGAAAACACCTACTGCTGGTGGAGAGTCAGCAGGTAGAATCATGACAGTTTGGAATGCCAAAGCTACAGTTTATTTTGTTTAAAATTTCAGGAGAAAAGTGGTCCATATGTATTAATATCATCTTAAACATAAAAACCTGATAAAATTGTATGCTAGTGCAAAATGGAACATGCCACTTACAAAATAGCTGCTGATTATCAGCCAGGAGATACTTACTTGGCTTACATGAACTGGCGTTAATATCAAATCCAGAACACCAGACCAGCCAGAGAAAACACCCAGTGGTATAGCATAGGCTAAAGCAACCATCAAGAATCGGAAATTGCTGTGAAGACAAAACATATGCAATTAGCTGCAGCTTGTATTAGAAATTGCACCAAGATTAGCTGCTGGATTAAATGACACCCTAGAATCTATATTCTGCCCACCAAGAAAAATAGCAGAGGTCTGAAGAACGAGCGAGCCAGGAAAAAACAGAAAGGTGTCCAGCCATGCCACTGAAATTCCAGTGGCTGAGATGTTACTGCCTTAGCACTGTGATAATAAAAAAAGCCAGTCTCTCCATGTAACTCATAGATTTTTGTAACTTGCTGGGCTCATGTGTTTCTCATTTCCACAAGCAATTCTTCCATGCATTTGCATGGGCAACCTACTTAGCCTAAGTGTATGTTAGGAACAATAAGCACTGATTTAAATGACAAAAAGCATATTTCAAGAATAAAATCAGATATTCATACTTTTTGAACTGTACTTTTTCTTTTTTTTTAAACTGTTTTACTTCTCTTTATTTTGGTGAAAGGGAGGGAGAGCTCTGGGAATGAGATGGGTACAGTTGCAAGAGTGGAAAATTTTGACGGTTTGAACTGTCAAAAAACAGAGACAAGTATAATATTCTGCTCTAAATAGACAACGTGTTTGCTTTTTCTTCCCAATTAAAAATTATTCAACCTTTAGTATTCAGTGAAGATGAAGCAGTCAAAGCTGTGTCATCATCTTCATTGTACACAGCTAAACAGGAGTTGGCAGACAAATACCACCTCCAATTTCCCCCACCCACCCTCCGTAACCAAAAGCAAATGCAAAATCTTTGGGAAGAGACATCCAACTTTTCCCCAAAAATGTTTCAATTTGGGAATAAAAACAGAAAACATGCTTTGGACTCTGCAACAGTGATATTTTAAAGTGAAGAGATTTTTATGGTGATTCCAAGGTTATCCCATGAATATCTGTGTAACCACAAAATGTGTCTCCCCCCATTCCCAAACAATTTACAAAAAATTGATATTGATCAGTACCAGTTCCTTGGCATGCAGTGACAATTTGATAGCACAGAGTTACAAAAGCCAAGAGGGGGAGAAACCTTCAAATACTCTCCAAAACATTCAGAGGTTTGCAGCTTACGCTGTTTTACTCCCCTAGAAGATCCATGCACAGCACACCAGCCAGCATTTTTTTGCACTGTTCTTTTTCACACATCCTCTCCTTGAATAACACATTTCTATCACATGAACATATCCTCCTCTTTCAATATCATTCATGTCAGATTTATTTTTTAATGCAAAGAAAAACAAATCCCAAACTTTCAGCTTTTCCACACACTGCTTATATTTCTCTGAATGCTAAACTGTTTGCTGTCTTCCTGACAACTTTTTTTGTCTCTTAAGAATACCATACTCTTATCCTAGTCTATCTTCTATCATCTTGCATGTCTTAAGGCAGGTTTTCTGATGCTATTTCATGCAACCCATGTAAAAGCTAATTCTACATCTGTAGAATAAAATAAAAGGGAAAGCGCCCATTTTGCTTGGATGTTATATAGCCATGTCGTAGATTGCAAAGAGAGAACAAGTCTGAATGTACTTTTCCAAAATAACGCTTGCTCAATATTCAAAATCTTTGGCCATCTGAACCTCAACTTCATTAGAGCTACTTTTGGAGGGGGCAAGTACTTTGTATCTTACTTGACTGAGATCTCCTGTGGCGTATTTGTCTCCTGTAACTCAGGCAATGAGACAGACTGGCACGTGGGATAGCTGCTCTGTGCCATGTCCAACTCCTAATACCAATACTAGCGAACCAACTCTGCATCATGACATCCTGCAGCGACAAAGGCTGCCACCCTCCTTTGTCTCCAGAATAAGGAAGGTAACCAGGAAAAAGGGTGCACAGCAGTGACAAAGCAGCACCGATCACCAGGTGTCATTCTGTCCCCTTGTCCAGCAATAGCTAGCACTGGCTCCATTAGAGTGCTGAAGCTATTTGAAACATGTACCTTAAGTAGCAGCTCCACTTTTCATGGCTCCAGTCACTTGTATTTGTTTTTGCAATTTTGCAATTGCTCCACTGAAAATAGAAAAATGTGCTGTCTGTCACACCATCAGTTGGTGAACCCACACTGTTTTCCATCGTATCAGCCCTTATGACAGAATATCAGCATTAGCCTCTCTGTTAAACCATTCTGCCGGAATACGAATTCACTTTTTCTGCTGTTTTTTAAGAAATCTACTTAACGCCACTAGAATCTGTAAGACAGGCTGGTTCAGAGGGGAGCCCCGTCAAAGTCAGTCACCATTTTCAGAGTAACTTTGATAGTGCTTATTAACATCAGGCACACTCTGAGCAGCTTCCATCACCGGATGGTGATGTCATATGAAAGTTTCATTAAAGAAATAATGATGCACAAAAACCCTGTTATGAAATTTCAAAATTGCTTACATAGTCCCTTGAAAATATAAAAGGCATGTCACTGGCTAAAAGCATCTAATTATTTCAAAGCAAAAATCACAATGTTTTCTGAAAGTGGATTTTAAGACTTATCAACAATTTACTTGTATTATTATTTTTTCCATGGAAATTTGTGTCATATTGTGAAATGGGAGGGGGGAAAAAAAAAGTCATATTTGCTTCACCCAAGAAACTGAGAAAGGGCACTGTACTTTTTCTAATGGAAATTCAAACTACACTTGTCACAGTGTGTGATAGACTGTTAAAAGATTTGGGCTTAGCTCCCAAACCATGACTAATCTGTCGTCTCCCACTGCAGGCTGAGAGAGCTGGTATCAGGAGATAACCAGAGATCAGCTAATCATTATAATCTGTCAGAAGCAGGAATCCTCCAAATCAGGAGGAAGACCCAAGTTCCTAAGCAAGTCCCAAAAAAATGGCCTATGAGGGATGGTTGACCCTAAGATGATATGTATAATACAGCTCTGCAAGAAGCAGCTTATGAAGATGACTGCTCAAGGACCTGAAGGCATGAAGGAGTGTGGGAGTTGCAAGGATGTGATAGATCCCTTTGGCGTCCAAGGAAAAAGGTCAATGACTTCAATGGTAAAGTTATGCTATGCAACTTTATTTTGAAGTAATAAAACTGCAGCCCAGGGGAGAGAAGAGGGAAATGATGAACATCTCAATTCTCATGAGTGTTATTTGGTGCATAGTTGGGTCAGCCCACCAGCTCACACACAACCTAAACGCCTTACACACAGTTCTTAAACCAGAGAGTAAGTCTGCAATAAGGGGAAATCATGATTTCCTGGTACCCATCAGCTGATTACCTTCAGCCTACATTACTAAGTCAAAAGAAAGGCTCTCTGTGCCAAGAATTATTAAGCCTAGATTAGGCAGGCAAGAGAGCTTAGAAGCCCAACGAGCCAGATGATGGATTTCTCTTGAAGCATGGCAGATACCATTTTCTTTTATAAACCCCCCTTGCTTGATGGATTGTTGCTGAAAGGCTCCCCAAGATAAGTGGGTTTAATGATGAACTGTTGATTGTTTCATGTACAAAGGAATGAAGAAGTGCCTTTGATAAGGGGTAGCATGGAAGAATGCATAAAGACCAGAGGGAAGTGAGATATAATGATCTACCTGACCGCATTTTAAAAAACCTCTTGGTTCTTGGAGACACTATAAACTATGCTCATTATTTAAGTGTCCAGTTTGTTTTCTTAAGTTTCATTGATTGTGAATAGTAAGCCAGCTTTGCTGTTTACCTCCTGACCTTACCAGTATCTCAGGTCCACTGTTTACAACACTTTGAACAAGGAATCTAATGGTTATAAAGCTCCCAAATGGAGTACTGTCAACAGAAATTTTATATTTCACCTGCGGAGTCAGTTGCTGTTTGGATTTCTGTTCAACAGCAACATTTTTACAACACAGCCCTCAGGCAGGGTCTCACTGCACACCAGCTTGGGCGAGTAACAGCATTATTGTGTGTACTAAGTGTCCTTATGGGAATTGCTATTTTTTCATATCCTGAGTAGGTCACTTTGCAGACTAACCAGCCAGCTGTACTCACACCTTCTCCCAACTGCCAGCTTGCTCCAGGATGAACGCACAGGATTAAGCATCTTGTCAACTATTTACTCCCCCAAACTGAAACAAAAGCCTCCAAAAGCAAAAGAAAAAAAAACAATGACGACAAGGGATGAGCTGCTTTTGCTGGCTCTAAATACACTTAGAGAGTACAGCCCACAATAGGTCTGTAGTAACTAAATGCCTAGAGCTCCACAATTACCATGTTTCAAGCACCCCTTGGTATGCGGATTCAGCTCCTATCACTACGTCACCCAAGAAACAATTACAGCAAGAGTCTGAAGTCCCCCAGTGAAGTCAGCCATACTCCACACCATGGGAGAGGTTCTTCTTTGCCCCAGGAAGTTCATCTGTGCAGTATCACCTACAGGGCACAGGCCTTCACAATTATTCAGCGTTAATACAACAGTTGCTTTAGCTGTTCCTCTGAGATCAGATTCCCATTACACAAGACATTGTACAAACACTGCAGGGGACAGGACCATGTCTTACCAAAAGAGCCCAAGTGGGAGAAGTTGCAAAGCTGGAGATGTCACTTTCTTTATAAAATTTTTTTTAAAAACCCAAATTTAAGGGAAGCTAACTCATCTTTGAACCTGTCCAGAAATACATCTGGAGACACTTCTCCTATTCCCACTTCATGTTTTACCATACAATTAATGAGATTTAATAGATTATATAATGGTTTCAGACGGTTCATTCATTGCTCCCATGGCTGAATGAAAGCAGCTGAATACTCCTTTGAATGACAAGCAAACCCCAAATTCATTCCAACTTAATAAGCACAGAAGAAACCAGCTTATTAGTTAGTTATGCCCAGTGTTGTTAATTGTTATCTCACACCTAGCAGTACGCACACTGTTAACAATCTTGTATAACCTGATGTAACAGAAGCATTGCATAAGAAAAGCCGTGCTAACAGCATGACTAAAGCAGTGTTGGTGCTGAAGGACTCTGGCATGAAGGCTTGAGATATACCCAGTGATTTAAAATTTAATGTCTGCTTTTTGGCAGTTAGCATCCTTTTATGTCTCAGCATTAATATTTAATTTTATTTTGTTTAAAAGCACTATAAACCAACTTGTTTGCTCAATAAGAAGATTAAAGCACACTTTTTTTTATTTATTTAGGTGCTGATCTGCTTTGAAGTGGAAACCCAATGACGACCTACCTTAAGAGTCTGCAAAAACTTCTCCTGTAGCTGAGCCGTTGGCTTGCCGCAGCCACGCTGGGAGGGAATGGCGGGCGTGAGGGGAAGTAGGCCAATGCTGCAGAAAATATCAGGGAAACCATTCCAAATTCTAAACAAGAGGGCAAAGAAAAACAAAACCGAGAACAGGTGTTAGCATCAAAGACTTATTTTGGTACAGCATTGTTATCAGCCAGCCTTTGATACATAAATCCCACCACAAGTGCTCTACTGCTCCTGACAAGAGAACTCTATAACTTGAAGGAGAACTTCCTTTTTCCTCCCCAAGCAAGATTTCAAATTGAGATGGAGAATCAATGAGATGGAGAAGTACCAGCAGTCGATTCCAGTGACAGGAGCTGCAGAGAACCAGACTCGCACATGGGGAACTCAGTGAAGCAAAAGGAAAGATTTTGCTTTTTCTCTTTAGAGAAAACTGCATTATGAAGATTTGGCCACATTTCCTCATGATGGAAGTAACACAGTGCAGGTAACAGCGTGCTAGAGACTTTAAACAGATGGGACTGGGGAAGCTCCAGGGCATGGAATGACAATTACTCGGTGCACAGGATGACGAAGGCAAACGAAGGTCAAGCAAGGCAGCATCTTGGACACAAACAGTATTACATGATAACAGAAAGACAAAAGCATAGGAGCAGCCATGGCTCAGGAATAGAAAAAGCACAGGTAATAGGGAGAAAAATGAAAGAATAGAGCTGTTTGCAGATGCTCCTCTTGTTCAGCAGCAGGTATTCTAGATCTTTGAAAAACTGCATAGCAGAAATTTGGACCTGAACTTGCAAAGTGATGAGCACTTCACAGAAAATACTCTGCAAGCCCCGTGATCAGACATTCTGAGGAAAAACAACTCTACCCACAGTCAGTCTAATTAATTTGTTTTACAGGTCTTTTACAATGTATATCATGTTCTCCACAGTTCTCAATCCCAGTATTTCTCCTATCCCCTTTGAAAACAAGATTCTTTGCTGCTGGAGAGAAAAATGTATAGCTGAAGTGTGTTATCTTAAAAGAACCTGTGATCTTGTAACAAAGAAGTGTTCACCGACACCACAAATAAATTCCAGCAGAGCTGGATACTCAATCGCATTCATTTTCTTTTTTCTTCTTTTTTAATAAATCGATATGAACATGGCACTTTGCCAGCTCTTCTGCTAAACCAGAAGTAAATAAATTCAGGAAACTGAAAAGTAAATAACACTCAGAGTCTAAATGGATCAGCTGGAGATGGGGAAGGGAAATGAATGCTTCTATTTGGTATATGGAAAAAAAAGTCTACACCAAATTTCTTTTGAAGGCATACCAGGAACGTGACAATGCCATTCTTCACAATCAAATACTAAAGGATTCATTTTGAATTATGTGGTGTCTCTTTTCCTGCTGTGGTCTAATTACATGTTTTGAGGGTCAAGGGCACTTTCACTAGACCTTCTCACTCTATCTCCTCTGTTCTCCAGAAAATAGATTAATTTCCATCTTTGTGTATGTTGGTTTTGAGACCATGAGCAGCAAACAAAGAACTGGCTGTAACTGATCATCCCAGATCTAAGAAAGGGATGAGATGTTTTGTCACTATAGGATGATACTAGACAGGGAAGCAAGGCTTGCCAGAAGCTGTTTATCCCCTTCTCCTCCATCTAGGTCTACATATAGGTTTATAGGTATACATATGTACATGCATATGCACACTTTAATCACATATTAAAGGAAGATTTCAGACTGCAGACAGGTAGAGCTAACAAGAATGTGACCACCCAAACCCATAAACTTTGTCCAAGGTGCTTATTATTTAACTTTACTATACTGCAATGCCATAAGCGGAAAGGCTAGGTCTTTTTTCTAAAGAATGTAAAACACGTTGATAATTTTTTTAAGTCACAGTAATATTTTATAACAGGTGCCCATCTGGGGCCTCTTCTGTGGGTTGCCTCAAGATTCCTGCCAGTCAAATTGCTGCAGTAGGAGCAGTATAGTAACACTTAATTTTTTTTTTTTTTTAATTACTAAATGCAGCATGCAGTCCTTGTAGTACCTTCTTGCAACTCTTTAATGTTTCCCAGTGTTATACTTTCCAGGCTAACAAATTTGCCTCGCAAGCACTGCCCTCATGCACAAAAGAAAAGAGCAGAATTCACTTTGCAAACTAAAGCAGCTCCCTCTACTGCAGAATAAAAATCTTTAGTGCCATCTTAGCTTTGTGTATGACACTTCCATCTCTATCAGAAGTCCAGGTACTGCCAAACACATCCGATTTCTTACATGCTCCATTCATTCCTCATTAGGAAACCCAGACCTTTATCTCCATCATCATCATTTACTCTACCAGACTAGATAAAGAAAAATAATTCCCAGGACAAGTTTTAGATTGTTAGTAGGGAGTAAAAGTAAGCAAAAGAGAGAAGGTAAGAAATAGGTCAATATTGAGACTGAGGGAGCTGCAGTCACTAAAGAGGAGCTCTTCCACAGGAGCTACTGGCTTCTCAACAGTACAATGGATGCAGCATTCAGAATTGGGCAAGTCAGCACAAATTAGCGTGCAGAAACACATCCATGTGTATCTCTTGTTGAGAAGTGAATCTGGAACGCTTCACAAAAGCTGGGTACCACACCACAGTGTCCTGTGACTGTCAAAGTGGAGAGATGCCTACATCTTAGCCTAGGAAGTAGGCACCCTGCTGCCTGTGTAAGCCCCAAACTGAAAAAGAAAAGAGGTTTAGAGACACAAGCCTCCTTGATACAAGGTCTTTTTCCTTCAGATAGGCTACTCGTAGCACAAACACCTACCCAAACCCAGAAAACCCTCCTCCCCGTCTTGTCCTGAAATGTAAAGGCGGAACGAGGGCACTTTACACACACATGCTTTTTTTTTTAAAAACAAATAATTGTTTGACATTGATATTTAGGAAAGCACATTGCTAGAAGCTCTGGCTGCAGTCCAGAATAATTCAAGCTTCCTTATGCGATTCAGGTAATACAATTCAATCCTGATTTGCTACATCTGTACTATTTCAGTTGTGAACCAGAATGTGCAGCGACAGAAATGACACAGAAAGAGGCTGTGGTAATTCAGCTGAGCTCTTAGTCCACGTTTGAGATAAAGGAAGAGCAATTTATTAAAACACAGAAGAGACTGGAGTTAACAGAGCAATTTCAGAATGGATTTATAAGCAATTGCTTCGTAATCATGTTTGAGGTTAAGTCCTTGGAAAATTAGCACACTCTTGGCATGCTACTGATCCCAAGTTAACAATTCACATCATTACCATCTTTTAAAACTCATCACCTAACTTTTGGAGGCTGCTTATCTAGCGCTACCTCACACAAAAGCAACAAGCTCCATCACAAACACAACTCCGTTAGGAATGCAGAATGCTTATCCTGTGAAACTGGCTTTCCCATAGTATCTGAAAGAAGAAGTTCCACTAAGCCTGACCACGCTCGCTAAAGAAGCGGGGAAGCGGGACATTTAGGTCCAGCTCCTTGTTCTGCTACATTCTGTAACACTTCTACTAGTAATCTGTGAAGTCAATTTGAGCTTTGTTTTCTGCCCAGCTGATGAAGGGGACAAATAGTACCCTCCCACACCTACCAGGTATTTTTTGGTCTGCAGGTGAACAGAGCCATACATACATATATACGAGGCAGTCGCCCACCACGAGGCAGCCTTCCTTCCACCTCTGGAGCCCCACCAGGCATAGCAGAGCACAAGGGAGGCAGACGGTGGGGACCTTGCTCCTTCAGCTCTCCGGGGAAACAGGGATGAGGGGAGACAGGACAAATCCCACAAGAGATTCAAAGCAACCTCCTCTTTGACAGTTCCTACCAATTTTAAAACCAGTTGGACGTTTTGCCACCGTCACTACAATTCACTGCAGGCCAGTAACATTCACAAACCAGCTCTTTTTCATTGCCTCAACAGCTAGAGGGGTTGCAACTCCCGAACAGACGCACCCCGTACGACACAATCACAAGCACAGCTGCACAGAGAAACCACCTCTGTTCAAAGCACTTTCAAACACTAAGAACTACAGGTGCCCCACAAAACGCATTTCCTAGGAAGCTGAAGAGCTGCTGCAGGATCATCTTATGCTGGGACCAACGATCCCAAACAGGTCTACAGGGTGTTCCCAAACCCTTGCCGGCTCAGAAAGGCAGAAAGAGCTGTGCTGAGACATGGGGCAGGCAAGGCACACCTCTGAACCTTGGTGGCAAGCAAGATCCATCTCAGTTTCTGAAGAAATTGCTTAGGAAAACCTCCCAGAAGAGAAAGTGAATCTAATGGGCTGCTGAAAGCAACATTTCTAGTGCTACCAGACTCAAAACAGTGGTTTTAGGCACAAAACTGTACTTTAGGCGGATGAATTCTCTCTCCATGGAAAAATCTGAAGAGGGAGAGCTAAAGCACTTCTCTAATCACTAGACTTTTCCTCCCGTTATCTACTGCTCCTCAGGACAAAAGCTGACTTGCCTTCATTTTTCCTTCTTTCACATTGGCCATTTTCATGTGCCATGAGATTTTTGAAGTCTAACATCATGTTTACCTCTGAAAAAGGCCTAAACAAACCCAAACTTCTTTGTTGTTCCAATACATTTGAGTCCAGTAAAAAGGAGGTTACTCAAAAATACTTGCTGAAATAGTGATCCAACTTCTACTACGCTTTAAAACAAACAGTAAAGTGGCCCTCACCCAAGAGGAGTATTAACTTGACAAAATTTCCGTAAGAATAACGTCCAGGAATAAATGATCACAAACAGCTAACTCAATCCCATAAACCTGCATATAAACTACACAGTGTGTGTGTATATATATATATATATATATATATATATTTTAAGACTTCTGGAACACTTAGGGCTAACTCCTGGCTGAATTTCAGAGGCTGCAATTATAAGGGGGGGAAGAACCCAACCAAATGTGCAGCTGCCATGACATAGTAAAGTTCAGCTGCTCTTAATGCTATACCAATTCATATCTACTAAGAATCAGATCGTAGACTCTTAAGCCACTTAAGCAACTCTTTTTCCTTAAAACTTGCTGCTAATTTTTCTAAGTGACACAAAGAGCCGTAGAAGCTATTGCATGAAAAAGAGCAAGGACATAAAATCTATCAGGTGAATTTTGTATCAGTGTTTTTTTTTTTTTTTTTTTTTTTACACTAAACTGTTGTCACTTCATTGAAATTGCTCATCACAAAAGAATTATGTGGTTTTAGTTAAAAAAAAAATCTACTGAGTTTTAATTTCAATGTTAGATTCTTAAATATTAATAATCTAATCACATTTGAAAGGCATATGCAAGTCATAAATTAAGGCTGATTTAAGCAGGAAAGAATTTAATGCTGAAAGACTTAAAGATTTCCATCCTTACAGAAACAAAGGAAAAAAACCCCAACCTGTCATGGACACATTTTTTTGATGAAAATTCAAGAAGCAGAAACCAGTTTGGAAGCTCAGGGAAAGCATAAGCTCTCCTAGCAGACATTTCTCCTAAGATTAGCCGATACAAACAACTGAAATACTTCATTTGGAATCAGTCTGTACAAAAGGCTATTTTTAAATCTTTCCTACACAAAAGGGAAAAAAAATTAACCCTTCCAATAGTACAACATTTTACCACTTCACTATTTTCATCACTCAGTAACTTTTCTGTGCAGACCAGCCACTAGAGGGTAGTGGTTCACAAGCACCAGACACACGCACAAAAGTATGTAAATTTTTCTTTTTTTCTTTTTTTTTTTTTATTTTTATTTTTAAACCACACCTGCATACAGCACAGCCTCGATGCGGTCCTTGATGTGCTCATTGTTGCTCTGCGATAGCAGCGAGAGGTGAGATGTTCCATTAGGAGATGGCACTACAAGAGGTCCCACTAGAAACGCGCCAGCAGCGCCCAGGTAATTGAGCAGCGATGCGATGGCTGTTGCTGTGGCACGTTCATCTGGAGAAAACCACGTCGTGGAAAGAAATGGTGCTGCATTCATCACAGTTGGGCCCGCCAAGCCATTTAACAGCTGCCCTCCGTGAATCAGCCTGGAATAGAGAATAGAGACCACAGTCATTTGGATGACAATTGCTTGCCTTTTTTTTCTTCTTTTTTTTCTTTTTTAATTAAAAAAGCATGTAAGATATTGAGTACTGGAGACAGAGCAACTGCACAAAGAAATTAAAGTCCTGTGCAAAAAAAGGATATTCTATACACTGAGAAGCCCAATTAGACTGATTTAAAGAATCCAGAGCTACTCTGGTCTCATTACCTCAGATAAATGGAGAAGCAAATGTTCTCTTCAAAGCAGTAAAGGAAGAGGGAATAAAAGGGACTTTCTTTGCAGAAAAAAGGTATCATGATAGGATAAAAAAGTAGAAAAGGTGTAGCAGCAGGAAAGCTTTAAATTACAAATGTCTTAAACCTGACCCCTTGCCTGCATAAATCCCAACAGAAGATTCAAATTAGTTACAGCAGATCCAAAATTGAAACACTTCAGAAAAATACTCTGCATATTTTTTCACTGCATTATTTATTTTTATTTACACACTCAGATGAGCTCTATGTGCCTACAGATGAGGAGGCTGGGCTGTTGAGGCTTCCAAGAGAATCGTCTTCTCCAGCAATCTGGCCATTCTCAACACACTGTTGAAACAGCCAAGCAAACCCAGATTTTTCTCATTTCTCAGACTCATTGGGATTTAACAGATAAGGCTGGTGACAGAACAGAGAGAGTACTTCCAAGCAGTGAAGTCTCTGCAAACTTTGGCTTAATATTAGTACAATGAGCACATACAGAAAGGACTTTTTGAAGGCTCTTCTACACGTGGAAGTCAGCCAGAAACCTTCCACTGTGACTTTTCCAAAAAGTGATCAGCCATGAAAGGCAAAAGCATTTTTAAATTTATATAAAAACTTCATGTCTAAAAAACAACTAGCGAGTCAAACAAAACATTGCAACCCTCCAAAGTAGATCCATCCATTGTGCAATAAAATTGTGGCAGATGATATTTTTAAATGGGTGATGTTTTTCTAAGCATAGCAGGAACTCGATGTTATTGCTGCAAGACTTGAGTTGTCAGACATAAAAAGCTACGGCCTGAAAATAGGGAAACATAAGCTAGCATTTAGGCAATGTTTCAAGCCACAAATGGCTGAATAATATACAGTGTAGCAGGAGTTTTTTAAAGCACACAAAGGAACAAAATATGCAAAAGAAATGCTGACAGACTCTTTATCAAATTAACAAGCTAGATTGCAATAAAAAGGAAGAGATGCTACTGATTCTCAGTGGATTAGAAATTAAATTTTTAAACAAAATTTATAAAAATATACAGAAAAAAAGAAAAAGCTATTACATATCATCTGAATGAAACACTTTCTGGGCTGGGACTGAAGTAATACCCACTCTCTAAATAAGATTGCTCTTAATAAGCAATTTAAATTTTTATTTTTATTTTTTTTTAAGTTCACATAGTGAGGATAGATTTCATTGCTATTTGTTCATGATGTGGTTCAGACGGACATCACCAAGGCATGGTCAAGCCTTTTTAATGCTTGTTAAACTGGGGGCCCCAATGAAATAGCTTTAAATAAACAAAAAGCACTACCTAAATAATGCTCTGGTATAGTTTTCTGGAGGACACATTACAGGAATCCCTTATGGTTATTCTCCAACCCAGTGTACTTTGGACAAACCAAGGTATCCTTGTGCACTTTGGTATTTTCATTCTACTTACCTCACTACAGTAAGTTATTCTCAAACTTGTCCTAAACTGTTCCAGGGTATTTTCAGAGCTATGCTACATCACCAGAAACAGCTGCATTTCAGTAGCAAGTGACGTAACTACTACAACATATAAAGATTTTATTTTAGTATTTCCTTTGCTCCAAAGTGAATTTAATGCTTAAATTGTGGTTTTGTTATTGTATGCTAGGAAAACCGCGTCACCACAAAATAACCTTTATAGATATAGGTGCCATGCTATCACTGCTGTTCACTTATACCACTATGATAATATTGTTTTAATTCAAATATGCCTACTCTATAGAAATCCTAAGGGCAAATAAAACTCACTAAAATCAGAAAAAAAATACAATAGTTCTTCCGCAGCGCCTATGAGCATGTAGACACTTCATCTGGTAGAAGAAGAAAAGTTTTGTAAAAAAAAACCCCAAACAATCAACCAACTCTCTCCTGCCTTGCCCTGCTTCGTGTGCTGTTCCCACGGATTTGCCTTTCCATCTGCATTTTTGGCATTTACGAAGCTTGACATTATCATCCAGGATTGAGCATCTCTTATCTTTATGTTGCTTAATATTTCAGGTCTAACATATTTGGGTTAATAAACACTATTTTCAGACTAAATTGCCACCGATATACAGACTACTACTTCAAATACGTCTGCATATAGTAACAGCCTAAATCTTATTTTATCTGTTTTTCAATACTGGCTTGAATTAAGCTACTTTTTCCTGAGAAAAAGATTGTTTGCATTGTTCCTCTACACATCCTTAACTCATTTCCCTAGAGAGGCAGGGATGAGAGATTCAAAATGCAATTCAGTGCATTTACTATGCTGCTACTCCAAGAGACATATGTAGCAGCCGCGCCATCTGACAGAGAAATAAGAACGCAAGAGTACTGGTGGCTTTTTGCTGTTTGTTACAACATCTTATCATCACCGTGCTAGATTTTGGTCTCACAGCCCATAGGAGTCTCCTCTTGTACACCATCAGTGCTAAAAATTGCTCCAACACCAAGAGACACTTGTTCCTGTTACTCCCCAATTTTCTTCTTGTTTCTGCTACTGAAAAGGTGCAAAGAGCAACTGCATTTTCCCCTGTCACTATTTCAGTTTCATTCTGCACAAGATTTCTCTTCCTTGAGAAAAGGGCTAAAAAGATAACTTTAGCTCAGGACCCTACCCAGATGGAAGAATATTTTTCAGTCTTATTACACTAACTGGGTAATTTTCATCTGTTATTCATCTAGCTCTGTTCTGTTTTCAGATGCATTATTTATTCAATCATAATTTAACTATTTTCATGTATCAAAAAGCAGAAAGTTATCAAGTTCAAATAACAGAAAATAATACAAGAGTAAAAGGCTTTTTAATCACAATCATGAAAGAGAAAATTGGAAAAAATAACACCACAAATTCATCCCTGACTTACAAAATAATTGATGACTGTCTAGCTTAAAGCAAAAGTGGGGAAGTAAACATCTACCCCAAATATCTTGGTTTTAACCATTTCAGAAGCCAGGTCAGGTACTCATTTCAAAATTTCAAAGTTTTTGCACACCTGACCTCTGCATTAATGAATTTGTGTGCTCTGCCAAACTTGTAACTTGCAGTTGAACACGAGCCTTAAGAAAATTATCTGAGGACTGGTTAAAATGCTAGTGTGAAATATCACATGCCAGAGCATCACAGTAATGGATAACTTGCACATTTACATTAAGTATATACCTATCTATCGATATAAAAAAAAAATACACAGATGTATATATATATATACACACACACACACACACACCTTTGCACAAAATAAAGATCACATTTGTTCCTAAACTGGCCTCTGAATTGCAAAAAGATAGAACAAGGGATAGTTCAAATAGAGCAATAGAAATTAGAGAAGAACAACTCTTACTGTACTATATTGACAAAAATTTGGAAAAGAGGTGACAAGTCACATTATAAATAACTTAAATTATATGGTTTTCATCACTTCCCTGAGAGAAGACTCTATATGAGTATTAAGAAGTAACCTGGTTATACCTGCTTTATTCACTCCCTGCTGTCACACTTGCAATATCCTAATAGGCAACAACAACAAAAAAAACATGTAAGGCCATAAATGCTGAAATTACAGTATCACTGAGCAAACTGGGTATGAAAAAAGTGAGATTATACAGGAAAAAGGTTTTAGTGATTGATGATAATACCATATAGTTAAGATGGGAAAGAGCTTCCATTTACCGTCAGCTTTATTTATCTTTTTCTCCCTATATGGGTTTTCATGCATGGTCACAGTCCCATCAGGTATTGGATTTGGTAAGCTATTTAAAAGCTATATAAAAAACCCAGACATTTAGTGTTTCTACCACAGTATGCCCCATGCCTGGATTTTGGAGAATTTTAAATGACAGAAAATCTCATTCGTTTCTGTACTCAGATGGGGAAACAAAGGCAACAGTAGAGGGAAAATGACTTACTCCAAAAATTACTTTTAATACAACGGATTTAAACCACAACACTAAAATCAGTCTCCAAAGCTCAGTTCTAAGACATGTTAATTGAACTTGTTTTGGGAAGGCTAGGACTGGAAAAGTCATATCAGTATTTTAACGCTGATTAACAGAGTGGAAAAAGCGTTTTCATCTTTTCTTTGGCAGGCAACACAGGGGAAGAGTGAGGCCATCGGCCCCAGTGAATTGCTCTGACTCTCTAAACATGGATTTTCTCTACCAGACTCTGATCAGCCCCCAGCCAACTGGGAAATTAGGTTTCTCTGGGTCCTAGGAGGGAGCAGAGCTCATCTCGAGAGCCTTGTGAAGATGTGATTTTGGTGCAGGTTTTCTTCCTTCAACTCTTACCATGCTTTTCCTACTAGCTGCCATGAGAATTGACCACTGAGTCACTATTCAAACTTCTATACAAATGCAATGAAAAAAACCCCACTAATTCAGTTTTGCCACTGTTTGGCAAAGTGTGAGGAGCAATGAAGTTGCTGATAGTTCTAGTCTGCTGCTGCATGAAGACAGCGCAGTAGTGTGCCTCTTAGTCTGGAAAAGTTTAGTAGATTAATCGCTGATCCCAACAATTAACGAAAAAAGTGATTCCGGATAAAGAAGTTAATGTTTTACAGAAATAGATGTCTGATTTTTCTTTCACATGCCTGACATTTTCACTCATTGAAAGAAGTGGATTGTTCAACTCCTGCTAATTTGGAAGACAAATAAGTTTATATAGTGATTAGCTCATTGTGGGAACTACTGGAAGCAAATGAAAGAGACCCTTCCACTGGAGGACTTCAGAGCACT